TTCTTTTGAGATATTTGGGAGACCATTCCTTGATTACTTCTCTGTTGGAGTGTCATTGTTAGGTAAGGTAATTTTCAGTGTGTTAAGGTTTATATCCCTGACTTTCTCCTTTCTCTTTGGTATTTGAGTGCCTGGCATTAGATAACATTTATCAGTGTGTTTGGGATGGTTCCTGGGTCTGTGGTATGGTGATCCATGGGTTTCTTGTATGTAGTTGTCTATAGGGTTCCATTGTTGAAGTTGACTGGGTTGTCCAGGAAGTTGATACAAGGTTGGGATCATAATCAGTTTCACAAGCCCTTGACACAAGTTGATACAAGGTTGTCCTGGCTGGGGAGCCCCCAGCAGCAGCAGGTGGGGAAGCCCAGCAGCGAGAGCCCCAGGGAGAGGAGCTGGCAGCAGGGCTGCCAGCAGAGGAATATTGACCTCCCCTTGTCTGGCAAACTCCCTGGTCCAGAACGGCTCAGGTCCAGAGGGTGTCAGACCAAGGAGGACCAATCTGTATTAAATTGAACTCAGGAGAGGAAATTGTGTGTTTTTAATAACATTTTGGTTCTATTGAAATATGTAAGTCAGTTTAGCAAAGCTGCTAGATAATTGATCTAGCCTGTTGTAAGTAAATTAACATGGAACTGTTTAATTACTGCAACAAAATAGTCATTTTTAAAAAAGACTCTACAGAATTAAATTAATAAAGTTTTATTATTATGCCATTTTAGTTTTAAATTTGCAGCATATGTAAATGATCTTTTTCTCTTGTATTCTGTTTCTGCTAAGTGAAAAGAAAACAAATACAAAGTGTGCTGGGGTGGAATAATTTAACAAGCCTATTTTGTTATGCAAATACACTGTAGGTGTTACAGATGTACATTTTTGTTAGCAAGCTCTCTCCAAAGCCTGCTAATTACAGTCTTCACAGGCACATGCATTACATTTGGTAGATTTAGAGGAGAGGCCAGCTCGTAAATAGGTTCACAATATCCCCTGAAAGGTTGCTGTTTAAATCCGTGTTGAGACAGCTGTGAAATTCTTAAAGCAAGTTATCAGTTTTGTCAGATTTCATTTAGAGTGTATTACAAGTTAGAAGGCAGATAAACTTATTTCTCAGCAACCTCTTTAATTGAATTCTGAATTGCATAAGCCAAGAACTTCATAAGGAATATGCAAAAGTGAGTGGCTTGATAAAGAGGAGAACAAAACTTTTTTCCCCTTCTGAATAGTTATTGTTTAAAAATGTGTGAGCTGGGGGCATTGGTGTTACAAAGTCCAATGAATAAAGATTTTAACGTATTAGCTAATAGCATATATGAAAGGCTGCAACTATGTTAGTTATTCAATCCACAACTACATACCCTCTTTACCATGAGATGGCCTTGAACTGATATGGATGTTAACAAAATGGTATCTCCATTTCCTGGGTGATGATGAATACCTTCTCTAAATCTCTGCACTGCCACATACCTCATTCACTTTGGCCCTGGTTTTGAACCTACTTATGTACTACAGTAAGGTGCTAAATTGCTAAATAAATACATAAAAAAAGATAGCAGATATGGCTATAAGATGTATCCATACTGCTGAAGGGCCTTCAATAAAGTTGTAGTGTTTTACCCATGTATTAATTCAGTTTTATGCCATGTAATTCTATCAATTCCAGTAAAGTTATATCAGCGTAATACACTGGTGAAATGAAGCTCCTAATCTCTGTAAAGAGAACATCCAAATCAATCACAACCTAGTAAAGCATGGTAAAGCCAACCACTTGTGGCTCTCTCCAGTTAGTAAATTAACAGTTTAATGTCCAGCACTAGGTGAAGAAAATCCATTTATAGCGTGGGAAAAAATTCATTTCTGCACCAAGTGGTAATCAGCTATAGCTGTGCCAAAATAAATGCTTCAGAATTAATACCACCAGTACCACTATGTAAACATATACATTAATTTAATAATGCTGCCATGAAGACAAACCAGAAGCATAGCTTAAAGAATAGATAGATTTCAGAAGTAACACATATACATTTCAAAACATAAGCCTGGGATCAAAAGTGTTTCACTTGTCTTTTTTTATAACCTCAGTAAACTTTTAAGAGCATCGTCTTAACTGCCACATATCCAGCTGGTACTTATGTTCACTAAATTTCTCCCTTCCAGATTTGTTTTTTCGATTCCTTTTTCAGCTGATTTACACTACTTGCTTCACTTCCTGACTTTAGCAATTTGTTCTGTATTTCAACCACCCTTTGTGTAAAGAAACCATAAAACTTAGCGGCTTGAAAATTGGATTTCTCTTTTGAGCAATCACTGTCCACAAATGTGGAAAATGTGTTAGAAGTCAGTAGTGCCACTTTTTAACAGAGATGTTTCATATTTGAATCACACCTCTGCATTATTGTGGTGTTACAACAGGCTGTTAGACTTAAATTCATAAAACAGCTCTCTGGAAAGAAAGATTTCAAGCTTGGGGCCTTTGAAATCAATGGCCTGATTGACCACCATGTTGCTCCAGCTTAAAAATATTTATTTTCAAATATAGGGCCCAATCTGAAGGTACCAGTATTTCTGGTTAGTTCACTGCAAGAAATGAAATGAATATGAGTTTGTAGGTTCAAGATTATTCTGTGGAAAGTACTATGACCATCAGGATTATAACAGGATGCAATAGTCAGAATAAATGTTGAAGAGTCAGATTCCTCTCTGTATACCTCACAGCAGTTATGTTTCAGTGTTTATTTGTAGCTCCTGTGATTAAATTGAATAATGTAACCCTTAGTATGCCACATGGCAATAGGTTAAGTGATAAGATACAAGACAATATAAGACCATACAGAGATCTTTGTGCTGGATTAACACAATATATTTGTTTAAGAAAATTTGTTTAAAGTGTGAAATTATACAATTTGAATACATTCATATCAGAATCTATATTCATTTTAGTATTTTACATATTATTTTGCATTTATATTGTAGTAGCTTCTAGAGATCAGTCCAGATACCGTTGTGCTGGGTGATGTATAATCATGGAATAAATGAGAGTCGTATTAACATTAAACATTCTGACACCAAGAGGTTATTCTGACTAAGGAGCTAAATTTTTTCATAATAAGAGTTAAAAATACAGTTTACATAGTTTACACAAGTTCTGTGTACTTGGAAATACAGAAATGCAAAATCTCTCACTATCAGTGAACGGCTAGGTGCCTTGTTTGTTCTATGGACAGTTTAAAACTTTTTGACAGTTTCTATGTATAAAACTGATTTCTAATTAATTTAATATTCTTTTACAATCCTAACTTTTATGGTATTTCAATTTTTAATAACAAGTGGTATTTGTTTTCTTGAGTTGCCATTTTCAGGCAACTGTTTATGGTAGTCGGACCTGCTGCCACCATCAGGATGACACTATGAATGAGTTTCATTTGTCAACACTATTGTAACAATATGAAGCAATTCATTCAGTTATACAGCTGTATAAATGTAAAGATTGCTTTGTTTCACTTTCAGATCCAGTTTCATTATACTGAATACTTTCTACTTATGCCCTGGATTTCGAGGGTTCCTTTGAAGATTTCAGAACACCCATTGCTACTGATTTATATTTCTGAAAGCTGTGTAATGTTAGAAGACAATTGAAAATTGTCTGATTAGCTATTTTCCATCTTAAACTAATGTTCAAAGGTCTCTCCAATCCAAACACTTCTTTCAAAGCAGGTGGGTGGGTGCAGGAAGAGAGAGAGAAAAAGAGAATCTGTTTACCCAGTCCAGATGACTGCTGTGTTCCTCCTTGCTAAAGATTCCGTTGCAGTTACTGCTGTCAGGCTTACCCCCTTCTTTACTTATTTTTCTCAGCTGTTCTGACTGTTGCATGTACTCTTGTGTTTTATTGAAAATATTTAATATGAATATGACTCTAATTTATTCCATGTTTCTACATCACCCAGCACACGAGTACCCTGATTGGTCTCTAGTAGCTACTAAAATAAAAATGCAAAACAATAAGTAAAATACTAAAATGTATTTCAATTTTATAATTTGATACCTGATGCTTAAATCTATTGTGTTAATCCAGCACAAAGATCTCTGTGTGGCTCTTATGTTTTCTCATATCCTATCACTTTTAACCTATTGCCATGTGAAGAGGAGGCATGTAGCACAGGAAGAGTTACATGACTCAGTTTAATCAGGGAAAATTACAAATAGATAATAAAACATATCTGTAGTGAGGTGTAAAGCGGAGAATCTGATTCTTTAAAATGTGATTAAACAAAGTGCATTTACTTGCACTTATCTCTTTTAAAAATTCAAGTGGTTGTGCTTCTATTTTTCAATATACAACAGGGCAGGGGCAAGGAGGGGCAGAGGGGGAATGTGTAGACACCCCATTTAGTAATTAAAATGTTGGCGGGTGCATGGAAAGGCAGTACACCTCCCAAATGCTGCCACCCATGCAACAGGGCTTACCTATATCAGAATGAGCATTTTAGAATAAATTTGATTGTGGAAGGCTTTGAGCCAGAGTGCAACATTTCATGAATAATCTCATAGGTGTAGACCAAAACTGAGGAAAAACGTCAAGGTTTTCTCTATTCAGGCAGTTTCCCTCAGATCATTATGTGGAAAGAATGGGTTTGCACATGTGCATGCATACACCTTTCCTGTCACTGCACAAAAAGCTCATGGTTGACCTTGTAAAAGTATTTGGAGTGTTTCTTTAAAAGTGGGTCAGGAATTTGGGCAGAAGATGGCTGGCGGAAGTATGGGTCAAAATCTCCACACTGAAACAGAGAGAAAGAGAGCAGGGTGAAATAGTTTAACAGATATAGTTTCCTCGTTATTTAGAGCAGGGGTCTGTAACCTTTTCAAACCAAAGCACCAAACTACATCATAATTCAGAACAAGCGGTCAACAAACAGCCATATAAGAATGCCCATTTGCATGACGTAAAACATGAAAGTTAATATTAGTGATAACTGACATAAAGATAAATGAAACTTTGTACTCACTGACTTTATGTAATGGAACTTCTGTTGCTGCATCTTTTTGCATGTTTCTTTGAAGTTTACATCATAACTGGTCAAATTCAGCTTCATGCACACACACACATTGAAGGCCAGGCTGATCTCTCTCTCATTTAGAGAAAGTTCTCAGAGTCAGAAGAAAGGGGCACTTCCTTTGATTTTATACTCCTGTTATGTATTAGGCTCCAGATTCTGCAGATTAATGTATTGTACTGGTGTCAGGACTTCAGGGCCATTCCTACAAAAAATACAGGCTAATTAATTTAGAGTAACGTTATCTGAAATGCCACACATTCAATGGCAGCTCTTACACACATGCTTACATTTAATTGACTGAATTTTTATATTCAACATCATTTAGAGGCCACTGTTGTTTAACTTCTCTTGCTTTTTTGCTGGCAACCAAAAATGTGTATAAATGCTACATAGATTTCTTTCTTGTTCTGTGGGCAAACTTTAAGGCACTGGTACTTAATTCCTGGATTTGGAGAGAGATGCTGCTTGTAAGCATCCCATATGCAGCTCTTGTGGTGTCCTCTGGTCTTATTGGGAATGTCTACACTGCAGCGTTATTTTGAAATAACAAAGTAAGCCTCTACACAGGAAGTCCATTATTTTTAAATAATATGGAAGAGGCTGGAGCTCCTGAAGATGCAGGCATTGTGCACCTTCCCCGACCACCTGATGTTGATGTCAGTGAACCGTCCTTGGTAGTCCATGATGGCCTGCAGGACCATGGAAAAGTACCTCTTCTGGTTGATGCAGTCAGATGCCCAGTGAACAGGGAGATGGATGGGGGTGTGGGTGCCATCAGTGCTTCTACTCCCCCACAGTTGAGGAAGCCCATGGCGGCAAAACCAGGGGCAATGGGGTCCATGTCACCCAGGAGGATGAGCCAGCACAGCAGGATGGTGTTGATGGTCCTCACCACCTATAGAAGGACACAACAGGGAATCACAGCATTGCTAGAGGCCTTGGGAGGTCCGTGAGCCCAACCCTCTTTCCCCCACACAGGAGGCTCAACCCCATCTCCCTGTAGTGCTTTGTGAAGGAGAGACTGGAAAACCTCTGGGGAAGGGAGCTTCCACCACCACCACCCTTCCCGAGGAAACCCCATTCCAGTAGTTCACCTCTCACTCAATAACATGGTAAAAGCACCATACTTGCATGACCGTGGCCCCAACAGTCGATATCCCCACACTGACCTGGTTCCCAACAGAGTGGTAGCTGTCTAGTATGGTGAACTTCCATAGAGCGATGGTGACCCACCTCTGGAGAGGGATGGTAGGTCATTTGCAGTTGTCCTGTTGCTTGAATGTGGAGGGAGAGCCACTCACACAGCTCTAGGAAGGCGTCCTCCTGCATGTGGAAATTCTGGTACCTCTGCTGGACGTCTCACTGCTCCATGACAATCCAGTCCAGTTGGAGTTGTGCTGCATGTGGAGAGAGGTGAGGATTTGTCCTGCAATGAGCTGGGGGTCTTGCTCCTGCAAGCTCATGAGGACAGCCTGCAGTAACTGCACTAGGAGGTGCGGCATGAGGTCCAGGAGCTGGAGACTGCTTTGCAGCAGCTCTGGCTCTATGGGTGGAGTGCTGTGGTGTCTTCAAGGGCATCAGAGCAGGTAGTGAAAAAGCTTTGCTGTCCCTCAAGGAGGTAGACAAAGGAAAGGAGCCTGATCACAACAGTAGGGGGGGTCCTTTAAGTTTCAGATAGCCTCAGAAAGCAGCTACAGGAAGTGACTGCTGTCCTGATGTCCTGCCCAAAGTGTTTTGGAGGGGCTTTAAATGCGATAGAGACTCCAATCTTTCTAGACACTCTGTTTCAAAATAACTCAGCACTATTTCAATGGGCATTTGTAGTGTAGACATTCGATTTTGAAATAAGCAGTAACATTGCTGTGTACACAGAACCTACTGTTCATGTTTTCAACCAAAGTGAGAAAAGTGCTCTCTTTGCTGTTCTGGATATGTGAGGTAGTCTGAAGACCAAAGACTTGCATTGTGGAGGTGTCCAGCATCCATTTCTGGCAGGAACTGTTAATCATTTGATTATTTCTTCCAATCAGTTTCCAGGTTGAAAAAAAAGCCATGGAAAAGAAATAACTCTTGCCTTGCAAAAGACAAGAGAGGAAAGGAGAAAGGATATTTAATCAGATGAAGATGGATTGCTAAATGATGGAGTCTGTTTTGTGATTTTTCTCTCTATATTAGCAATGTGTGTGATGCAAACATTGATATACAGCATCAGAACATAATTCTGATTATTTTGGAGGTTATATAATATTTTGTTGACTGTTTGGCTCTTCATCTCTTCCAGACTGAGTGTCACAACTTCAGAAGCACATAATTAAATAGAGAATGTTAAGAAATAAAGTCCATTGGGGTACCATATGTTTGAGTGCTCTCACAGAGACGCCTCATAAAAAATGGCACTCTGAATTATATAATCTCCCCATTTTAACCAATCTTTACTTTCCACCTGTGCCCAGTAAACAGTCTAACCAACATACAAATGGGCATAATGCCATCCAAACACATGGGTAAGAATGTGGGCTGCCAAAACCATTAGATTTGAACAGAGCCTGCACTATGACAGTTAGGGCAAAAATCCCAGGTAGGCATATCTATGCACTTTTGCTATACAGATATGTGACACAGTTAAAAATTCAACTAATTACTAAAGAGCTGTGTAATTATTTAAATGGAATAAAACCCAACTCCACCTATTTAGCTTTTGACATATATTACTGAATGAGATGCACTTCTCACCCTCACCTTGTCTTGTCATGTGTTAGGCCTGTAGCTGTCACCTGAGATGGGAATGTAGTCATACAATTCTCCTACTCTTTGACAGGGTCCTGGGTGGTTGTCCCCCAGTATTAATCATGTTTGTCACAGCAGGTCTGACTTAGGCCAAGACCCTGCAGTTCTCTTCCTTCTGGGATAATTACAATGCTAAGCAGTGACCTAGTGAACTTCTAAAAGCAATGTATCATTTATTTAGAAGGAAAATATTATAGAAAAATATAAAAACAATACATTTGTTTATAGGCATGCCTCGCTTACTAAGTATCTAACCATCTCCCACATGGGAACTCTAGAACGACTAGTTCCTTATAAAAGAAATGAGGTTGGTGAGTCAATACTGATTATTGAGCTAACATCTGCAGGTAGAAGGTGCACACTTTTCAGCTAAACCGTTTTCTTCTCTGAATCAGCATGACTCTTCATTAGATGATCCTTGTTAGACAAAATCTGCAAAGCCCCTGACAACACAACTCCCCTTCTTGGGGATCAAATCATTTTTACTCTGTTTACAAACCTTTTGATTTCCAAGTTGGCCAAAATTGTCAAAATAAGCTTGCATCTTCCTTGGAGATAGGAGGCATGGTCCTTGAAACTAATCATGTTTCCCATGGTCTTTCAAATCTTTGCTTGTTGTTCTGATATGGGAAGTTGTTATGCGTTGCCTTTCTGTTTGTTCTTTTGTCACACCCTGGTGATCTAGCGATCAATAGAGTCACACATGATTTTTTTATAACCCAGTATACAACAACTTCACCTTAAAGACCTATTTTACACATCAATATTTATAACACTGTTATATACCAGCACTCCTTCTATCACAGCGTGGAATTTGTAGTAGCTTATTATGATATCTATCTTCTCTTTTTTTGTGCGTAATTCTAGACTAGATTCTCAAGATCAAATTTCCAGAGCTTTACATATGTGCATAAATGATCACAACTACATGCTACCTTTTTGCAACATAAATTGTAAAGTATCAAGAGTGAAAAATCATTGTAAGACATCAGCAATCTTATATTGGTCTTCAGTGTTCATAAAGACTGCATGACATTTCTGCTGAATAGGCCTAAAATATTAAAAGAAGGGATTTTTTTTTTTAGTAAAGATCTTTCCCTCTTACAATAGTTCCATATAATTGAATAAGAATGAATCTCAATACAAATTTGATATGGTTAAACTGCAAATGACTGTACAATCTATCAGTTGTACAAAATGATTTCCTTTTTATAGCTTTATAACAGAGATGTAAGTCTCTAGTAAATTCTATAGGCTGATTCAAAAAAAAATCTAAAGAATGATTACCGCCTTCTGTTACATTTTGTAGTCCCTTCCTCTAAGTGTTTTTATGAATAATACTGGATATTTTTCCTTGTGTGAATTGCAGCAACAGCATTGCTTGTTTGGGGTTTTTTTTTTTTGTTTTGTTTTATTGTTTTGACCAAAGTTTTATTTATTTCATGTAGCATAGTCTTTCTGCTTTAAATCAGACTTACCTTTTGCCCTTCAACTTTTCTAAATCTCCCTCATTAACATATTCAGTACCACACAGCTCCTTCAGCACTTGTCCTCTTTTGGGAAGGAGGGACTTATAGATCTAGTTCCATGGTGTCCAACCAGTTCTGAAGCAAATTAGCCACACTCAACTGGCCAAATAGCCACGTGGTTCAAGCCTCTAGCCACACTCAACTGGACAAATAGCTATGTGTTAGTAGCAGGTCTACTTTCATCTCCATAGGTTTGCAACATAAAAGAGCTTTTGTATAATACATGCTTGCTATCCATGGAAATTTGCTGAACCAAAGAGTAACATTTTCAATGGGGCTTAGGCTCCTTACTTAAGTGCTTTTGACAATTTTACCCAAAGAGTTCAGTGGAATTCACAAAAAGAAAAAAAGAGTACACGTTTATATGAATAATGAGAATATTACTATCCTCGGGTAAGAATAATTAAGATAAAAATGTATAAAGGCTCGTGCTTCAGGACAAAAAAATAATCATCACTTTGCTGTGGTTAGGAAGAAAATTCCACCTTGAGGCCTGTGACTGTATGATATTCTAGCATGTGGGGTGACCCATTCCATTAAAATACCCAGAGGAGACCAGTGGAGAAGGCTGAACACCTGGTCTGGTCTGGTACAGGGTAGTATTCAGTGACAGTGAAATACAACTGGAGCTACAGTACTCTCAATTTTATGTGTACACTTTTTT